ATTTATTTATTTTTTTAATATTAAAGAAAAAATGCATGCATCTAAATTCATGACAGAACATAGACAAGTCAGGTTAAGAAATATGTCCATACGTATCCACAGCAAAACCATCCCAGATTTCAATGCAAATGCAATCACCAATATTGAACATTTTTGGTGTCTCTGTCACAAAAACATTGACAAATATTGTTCTACTTACTTGAGTTATCAGCAGAACTTCAAAATGAGTTAAACACCTGTCTCTGGCGATGAATAAAACACTTTACTTTCTTTCCTCGGGACTGATAATAAGACGAGTGTTCGGTCACACCTGTGTTGATTACCCAGTGACACTTCTGCGGTTTGAGGAGTGTATTTTCCTCACTACCCACACATGTGCTTGAATCAGGTTTTTCCTGCTTGTGGAACTAAGTTCAGTACTGAACAATAGAGTTATTCATATAATTAGGCAGAATTTGAAGTATTCTTAAGATTAGGGTATTGTGTTAGGTAAAGTCATCTAGTTCCATATTCAGTTACATATTGAAAATATATTTGGGGGTGGGGGGTGGGGTGGACAAAATAACAGAAGCACCACATGAAAAAGTACTTTCAAGTAATTAAATCACACTTATACATGTAGCTATAAAGGTGAGTCATATTAGGTTGAATGCCAGTTAGTATGTGTCAGTAATTAAAGAGGTCTGGTATGAGTTTTAATAGCAAAATGAGGCACTTAACAGAGTACAAAAGAGTTTGAATAGGTGGTTCCTCTGAACAAGAACAGCAATATTATTTAATATGGCAGAGCTGTAAGCATACATACAGATATATATATATATATATATATATATATATATATATATATATATATTAAGGGTATAATTAAAGGGTTTTTTTTCCTTCTTTTTTTCCGTTGATCATTCAGTTACGTCATTTTCGGTCTGGAATGCATAATGACACAAATGAATACATTGCTTGGCATGAACAGAACCTAAATTCCCCAACACAGAAAATATTATGGTAATTGTGGCTGTGAGCTGTTTATAGCTAATGCTGGTTAATGTCAGTCATAATGGCCAATTTTGGATCATTTTCATGTCCCAAATATTTACACCGACACTAGAGAAACCAAGACCCACTGTCAACCCTGTTATTTTAATTATTATTATTACTGTAGGCTGTTGTATGATTATATTGCTGGAAACATATCTGACATGCTAACTCAACTGAGACGACATCATCTGAGAGTGTGTATGACTGGAGTAAGGTAGAAATAGCCTCTGCAAGTTAGTCTCCCCGTAGCATTTAAAGCGCTTTTGCTAGGAAATTCAGAAACGGCTAAACAAATAACTACGGCTACAGGGGTATTTAGCACTACAGATATACAACCATACTTAGTAGTAGGGAACATGGGATTTAGTTCATTGTGATTATCATAATGCAGCCTTATTTTTGTATTTTTATTTATTTTACATAATGTGAATTTGCCATTTGAGAAAAGTATCCAAAGCAATCAAGAAAAACTGTAATTGAAACAAGTGGTTGCATTTATATGGAGACAGACTGACAACAGTTAAAATTGACATTACAGTCACATTAATTCATACTTATCTCCTTGGGTCCAGATTTAGGACCTGGTGAACTGATAAAAATTGTATGGAAATAACCCAAAATGGGGGGCCAATCCATCTTAGGGCACACACAACATTCATGCCTATGGGGAATTTAGCAACTCCAATTAACCTTAGCATGTTTTTGGACTATGAGGGAAACCGGAGAACTTGGAGGAAACCCCACAACAACATGGGGAGGGGCCTGCCAGTCTGTGGGCACAGCCCCTCCTCTGTCCATCCACCCAGCTCTACCCCCACCCAAGCAGGCCTGCCTCCTCTATCCATCCACTCAGCATACTCTCTGTCCTGTTGGCTGTACAAACCCAGGCCACTGCATACATTTGTTTGACAACTTGTTTAGATTAAATCTGCACAACGGTGTACTTACACTGACATATTTAAAATATATCTAAGCATTTTGACTCTCATGGTTAAAACAATGTTGATCTTAGTTGTGATTTTGGTGCCATTGGCTAATTCATTGGTAGAATTATTTGCTTTTGATACATGAGTACAGAGGTACCTTGGAACTTTGTTCCAGAAGGCTGCTCAAGTTGCAATTTGGTCGAGTTCCAAGTCGAATTTCTCCATAAGAAATTACGTTAATTAATTGAATTCATTCCAGACCACCAAATGATTGCCTATTTAAACTTGTCTACCTACCTAACTAATGATAAAAAACATTAACAATCAATATAAAATTAATACACACATGAAAAAACACACATACAAAAGCAATATGAAAAATATTAAATAAATGACAGTCATCTGAGGTCCATTTAAGGACTAACATAAAGAGCATCTTTGTGGTGATCCATCTTTCCTCATCGGAGATGCGCCATGTGATGCCTTTGTCTGCCTGGCGCCAGAGTAGGTTTCATGAAATATGCCAAATGTTGGCATATGCATGAATTGCTTTGAGAAATGCTCTTATTGTCATGAGAATATACAAATGCATGTGAAATGTGCCAACGCAATCAAGAAAAACTGTAATTTGCACAAGGGTGTATGCTCCTGAACTCCACAATTCTGAACGATAGCCAGTTCCCACTTTCTCATTGTCACTGAATGATCATTTTTCTTTAGCAGACTGTTACTTATTCATATCAAAGATACAGGTTTCAACATTGCAAGGCTCAACACTACAATATGTAAAGTTCACTGGCAAGAGAAAGCAGTCACACACACATATAACGTCTTCAGATCTCTAGATACAGTACGACAGCAAACAAAAAAGTCACACAGAACGATATGACACAAAAACAGCAAAATGTGTGTAAAATTATTAGTGCGAAACTTAGATATCATTTAGATTTTCCAGTGACATAAGATTGAAGTTTGAATAACATCTCACTATTCTCACCAATTTACAAAATGTTAGATAGATAGATGTAGATAGATAGCAGATAGATAGATAATTCTAAAAAGATCGGCATCAATGAGACCATTAGTTCCATTATTCATAAACTCCCTAACTATTAACCACTTCACATTTGGAAAAGTGATTCTGCTCCCTGTTTTATCCATACTAGGATTAATTTAACATAGTATTGCGAGTGACGTGACTCTTCACATGTGACTTATGGCGAGGGACTTGGGACACAGGCAACAGGCAGAGCCACCTGGGGGAGGGTGCATAGTGAAGATGCCACAGCAATGCTGATAAACAGTAAAAAGTACAAACGGCACGTAGCAGGTTCTTGTCATTTGCTATTTCAAGATTGATGTAATTCTGATTGTTGTCAGATTTTGGTCTTCGTATGGCCACTTCCTAGTTACTGTGCTACAGCAAATACCTGAAAGCCAGTTAGCATGTAGCCCTTATATTGTGTATCTAAAACTGATGTCATAATGCCTCAGAACCTTGGATTGATGAGTTCATGATTTGACTAATGCAGCCTAAAGACATAAACTACAGTACAGATAAAAATAATCTCTCAAGGAACAATTCAACTAAAAAACAGTACCAGATCCTGGCTTTTAATAATTATCAGTTTGTGATATTTTTTGGGCCTGCTGATTGTAGTCTACTTGAACATTTCCTTATCTGTTTGTTTCCCAGCCTAAATACTTTTGAGAAAGCAATGCAGGAAATACATACTCAGCATACCAGAAGACCAAAAGATCTTTGTCTTTGCAATTTCTATAATGCAGCATTACAAATAGTAAATATGTATTACTCAAACAACTAGCAACAATTCTCATTATTATTACTATTATTACATCAATCTGAAATAATAATGCTTTATTTTAATTATTATTACTGTAGGCTGCTGTAGGATTATGTTCAAAATGTATTCTGATCGAAGTTCGGATTATGCTACCTAGCAGACATTTTCCAGAAATATTTGCAGGAAAAGCACAAAATCAGCAACATAGGAGAAGGTGAAAATCAGGACAATACCGTATTTGTAAAAGCTTTAAAAGTTGAATCCGATGTGTAGCATCAAGAGATCCCCCCCTGTTTGACCTGCCTTACCTCATGAGTTGGCCCACCGCCTGAAATGTCAACAGGCGGGAAACAGTGCAGGCATGCTGGTACATGCCAGAATAAGATAGGAAACCACAATAACTCCTTTGTCATGGCTCCTAACGACCCTCTAAAACATGATTGTGACAGTTCAGATATTTCAGTAATGCAGTTCATCTTTCAGTAATCATACGTACTGTGCGTGATGTGTGGGACATCGGCCATCAGGAATGAATAGGTGGGAATAGCTGTCACAAACTTTGTTATGCAGAAAATTGTTGTGATTTGTGTAATTTCAGAACATGTCCTGATCATTTGCTGGATTAGAAGCTTTTTCTTTGCAACAGACTGCACATGGAGCTGCTTAACTGGTTTTTGCCTTTGTGAGATAGTGATGTTATGAAACACACTGCACACTAAGATTAGCCAAAAAATTCATGAAAATGATGGATTATTTAAATGACATACAAAGGACTACCAAACATGGGTGTCAATACAAATCTGGTTTGTATTAAAAAATCTTTAGCTCAAGCACTCATTTTAATCATTTAGAGTAAGCATGAGCTTAAGTCACATTTACGGAGTCATAGTATCCTGACTAAAGGTATCAAGTAAAACATCGCTATCCAAAACATGAAATATCATAATACTGTTCTCCCTATATCATGTATGCGTACAACTTGTTGTAACTGATTGCAAGGCAAAGAACAGATGGATAGATTTATGGTTTTATTCCTATGAGTAACAATAAAGCTTTGTGACAGTGACAGACAGCAGCATCCTTTCACTATAAATAGAATGAATGTGGTGTTTGTGTATGTCATAAAATCTTAGCCATGCAGTTGTGCAATGCTAACAAACACTGAGACCTCTCATACTTCAACAATACAGTATGTGTGTGCTGTGTAGGAAAACAATGAATAATAAATATTGCATCAATAATAAAACCTTTAATTGTAACCATAATTATGTGGACAATATGAAGGCTATATACTGTATGCCACAAGCAACAAAAAAAACCAAAAAATTATTCAGTTCTCAAGCTGAATAGCTATGCACCAAACCAGTATAAACCACTGTGCTTGGACAAAAAAGACAGAAAAAGATAACAGCATGATACAGTTATAAAAGGTAAATATACTTTAGTACATTAAATCAGGTATGTTGACTGCTGAAATTTGCTGGAACAAAATCATGCATTTTTAGTGACATGTTTGAAATGAAAATGGAACTGTGAGAAGATATATACAAAATATTTAGAGCATCAAACACTTAAGAAAGAGATGGCATGGTGGTTAACTAGTTAGCCCTGGGACCTGAGTTCAAGTCTCTGCCCAGGTTCTAAGTTTGTGGTGCTTGCATGTTCTCCCTGTCTTGTTGTGGAGTTTCCTCTGGGTGCTCTGGTTTTCACCCCTGCAGTCCAAAGCATGCTGAGGTATATTGGAGTTACCAAATTGCCTATATGTGTGTGTGCCATGCAATGGGTTGGCCGTCCATCTTAGCTGGCTCCCTGCCTTATGCCCATAGACTCCAGACCCACTGCAACCCTGAATAGGGCAAACAGATACAGAAAATGGATGGATGGACATTATAAAAAATATACTTTAAATGAGTATAGATGCTTTCTACACACAGCACTATAACCAGCATTATATCATTTTATTGAGCCAGGGGTGTTGCTTGAGCTTTTTACTAAATGCCATTTAACCCACTCCATGGACAAAAAATATATGATTCCTGCATTACCCATCTCTGTTAACTTGAAGTATGATTGCATACTTCTAATTTGTAGGTGTGTATTTGTAAGGAATTACCAATTTCTGTTCTACATACAGTGCCCTGGGTTAGGCTGAGTGGAACACAGTTTATTACTGTGTGATTCAGCTTAAGCAATTACATATGATATGTGAACTTTCTTTTCACTGGGGAAAACCATCATAATAAAGAAGATATATAATAGTATTTCAAATAAGAGGATGTAATTTTAACCCATATTCCATATTTCAACATTTCAAAACCAGGGAAAATTGTTTTATTTATATCTACATTAATGCTTGCACACATGTTTCTTAATAATGCTTATTGTCAGTGAGCCTTTTGGGTTGTTTCTTCTCAAAATAGGCTCTACCTTTCTATCAGGCCTTGTCTACAGTTTCCACAATGTCAATGCGGTCCAGGGATGTTGTCTGCAGGATACAGAGAGAGAGAAGTCAGGTCTTTGTATTTCCATCCTCACTGGAAGCCAGCGAGAGCTGGTGTATCAGCTGGGGTGGCTCACTGATTTGCACCAGTTAGCACAGTTGCGTCCCATCACCATGCGTAGGTGTTTGAATCCTGCATGCTTATTTAGTGTGTAAGGAATTCCCATCCATCCAGAAAATCAGAGTGATTTATATACTCTCATATGCTGCTAGGCTTGCCCCCTCCTTCCCTGATTTCCCCTCAGGGATTAATAAAGTTTAAACCCACAGGACTGTTAGGCTGTAAAGGAAACCTGCAAACTGAGGCCATACTTTGCCTTGCAAAACTGGAGCAGCACTACTTGCTGGGCCACCATGTTATACCAACACATTTTTGAGCATGTTTTACTTTGAAAATATATTAGATATTTGCTTTATGCTAACTTGCAAAATATATATGTGTATATGTCTATATGAAAAATATGCAGACATATTTTTTGAGCATGTATATTTAAGGTCAATCAGCAATTTAAACAAACAACATAAGTTTGGTGGAAGAGCAGTGTGTGAACATTTGAATGTTTGCTCATGCTGAAATTGCTAAAGAAAATAAAATTTAAGTAAACAAACAGTATATGTCTGCTGTTACTGCTACTGATGCTGGCATGAAATAGTCAGACAATGAGCACATGCAAACAGAGCCAGTGTAACCCCCCCCATCTACCCCAGTCCAAGTCACTGCTCTCAGTTGTGCCATACATGGACACTGCAACCTCTTCAACTACTGTACTCATCCCAGCTTTTAGCACAAACCGCAGGGAAAAGCTCTGCTGCTTAACCCAGACTTTTGTTTTATTTACACTTCTATGCTGATTCAGAAATCTCTGCTAATGGTGGAATCTGTTCTTGTTAAGTAATTTGAGATTTTGACAGTGAGGTTGCTTAAGTTCATCAAGGGGGAGGAAACTGGCACTGGTCGGTTCATATTTGAAATTTTGGATACCTTCTAGATTACATTTTAATCAGCTGACATCTTTATCCAGAGCAACACGCATTTCCATTTAAAAAAAATAAATCAAAAACATGCCTACTATATGACAAATTTATAACAGGTGTAAATATTACTACAGCCATTTATCACATTCCTATAATACTCATCAACCATAAAAAGAATGACTCTCTATCAGGCAATAATACAACTTTTGTTCTCAGCTCCAGTCCTGGGCCCCACTGTTATTGGCTGATTAAGAGGTCGTCCCAAAAACCTGCACTTACCACGGCTCTCCATGGACCCGGCTCCCCACCCCTGTGCTACAGTTATGTTTAGGTTGTTTTTTTCGTTTTAGTCAGGAATGTCAATACAGGTGACCAATTTAATACAAGGAATGAAACACACACACACACACACGCACACACACGCACACGCCCGCACACACAATGTGATAAAAACCTGTTATTTTGATGTTGTGGGGACCATTTTTCAGGTCTCCACAAAGATTTGTGAATGCAATCAAAAAACTAAAAAATTCTTGTATTTTGTTTGATTACTAATAGTTAGGGCTAGGAAGGGCTTGAGGTCATCATGTTGGGATTACAGTTTTCTCCATAGAAATTAATGGAGAGTCCCCACAAAGATATAATTACTAACCTGTGTGTTTGTGTGTGTGTATGTATATATGAAAGCATGTATACCCTGCCCTGCACCTCTGTCTTCCGGGACTCCTGTGACCATACAAAAAGGATGGATGGATGGATGGATGGATGGATGGATGATAATACATGGTTCTATTCTGTAACACCATCCTTCATATTTATCTGAGTGAAGATATTCCTGACACTTATTCTCTGGAGCAAAAAGGGTGGATTAGAGTTTTATTCAAAATAACATGAAGCATGACGGTATGTTTTCTTTAAACATTGCATAAAGCAATGCTTGATGTTAAGCTGATGTACGTGCCTAGAATACAAAACAGGCATTGAAGTATGTACAGGCAAGATGATCTGTACTTAAAGAATATCATACCTAAAAACACAATAACTGTAGAGTGACTGAAAGAAATAATAGATGAATTTTGGAAGATCTACTAATCTGACCCACATATACTATAAGGGTGTTTTGTGTATAGCCTAAAAATGACTTCCCTAATGCGATATAGCTATCAGCGGAATGTGTTTACAGCCACTTGTAATGAAAAGGCAACACCTAGCTAAAAAAAACAGCATGCTATTATCTTCCTGTGTGAGTGGAATGTGTTGTATGCATGTATTGCATATAAAAACATTGAGAAAGCAGTATAGAGAAACCTAGACATACACACACAGATGATAGAAGATAAGTTTGACCAGACAGTGGTAAAAAAATCCCAGAAAGAAGCTGATCTTGAAACACAAGATTTTTGTTCCCCTGTATTCTCCACATTAAGATTGAGACAAACAATAGCCTGCAATTTTCATTTTGTGAATGTATGGGGATAAACTGTGCTGAAATAGTTCAATATGTCACAAGACAATATTATCATCTATGAAACAAATTTCTGTGTATCATCTATATATACAAAATAAATAGAAAAAATAGGGTACATTGCTACGCACATGGGGGCCGATTCTTCATACGCTTACATCAAAAAAGGGCGTAGCTGCACATTATTTTCACTTAACGCTCTGTCCCATTGTCTGGAGTTATAGACGTGTTTTGGAAGGAGAAACACCAAAATATGGGCATGTCGTTTGTAAATGATTTTGCCTTGCATGCATTGCAGTGTTCAGAAAGCTGAACATGTAACAAAACAAAAATTTTTACATTATACAGTAGGCCTACATTTACAAGTAAATGTTACAGTCAAAAATGCTTGTGAATAATTCATATAATTATATAAGAATTATATATGAATTATACAACACAATAGTATACAGAAATATATAAATATATTCAAGTATATCACCATAAGGCGGGATTCAAAGGTTTCAGTCTGCCTTGTCAACACGCCTTGGAAGCAAATCAATTAGGCTAAATGACTGGTTGATTAATCTTTAAAAAAAAAAAAAAAAAAAAAAAATCAAATTATAGGTTTAAAGGAATTTCTGTGTCCTAGCAATCCTAAGCCGCAGTGCATCAGTACTTGCACTTCTGGGACAGTGAGACAGAGACACCCAAATATTGATGCAGTTGTAGTGACCGTGGGCCATCAGGTCCCAGTGTAAACGGAGAGAGAGTTTGGTTCACATTGCGAGCAGTAAAACTCGTTCCCAGTGAGCATTGGACTCCACCAGGGCTGCGTTTTGTCATTGATTTTGTTCATAACTTTTATGGACAGAATTTCTAGGCATAACCATGGGGCGGAGGGGGTCCGGTTCAGGGGCCACAGGATCGCGTCTTTGCGTTTTGCAGATGATGTGGTCCTGTTGGCGTTGTCGGGCTGCAAATGGCACCATGCACTCCAAGTCTGAGGCCATGGTTCTCAACCCGAAAAGGGTGGATTGCCCTCTACTGGTGGTGGGATGAGTTTCTGCCTCAACCAGAGGAGTTTAAGTATCTCTGGCTCTGGTTCACGGGTGAGGGAAGAAAAGAGCGGGAGATCAACAGGCGAATCGGTGCAGCGTCGACAGTAATGCAGACGCTGTACCATTCTGTTGTGGTACAGTAAAAAGAGAGAGCTGAGCCAGAAAGCAACATTGATTTATGTTCTTACTCTCACCTATGGTCACGAGCTTTAGGTGGTAACCGAAAAAATTGCGGATACAAGTGGCAGAAATGAGTTTCCTCTGCAGGGTGTCTGAGCTCAGCCTTAGAGATAGTGTGAGCAGCTCATACATTTGGGAGGAGCTGCTTCTCTGCATCGAAATGAGCCAGTAGAGATGGGTCGGGCATCTATCTACTGTAGCATGCCTCCTGGATGGTTCCCTGGGGAGATGTTTCGGGCATGTCCGACCAGGAGAAGTACCCGGGGCAGACCCAGAATATGCTAGAGAGATTATATCTCTCGGCTGGTGTGAGAACACCTTGGTATTGCCCCCGGTGGAGCTGGAGGAGGTGGTTGGTGAGAGGGAGGTCTGGGCATCCCTGCTTAGATTGCTGCCCCCACGACCTTACCGTGGATATGCGGTAGATAATGGATGGATAAATGTTTTTGTTTTTTTAACCAGAGCACTGCCAGATTTATGCAAATAGGTGCCAGAACACAGACAGTCAAAAACACAGAGGTCCTGGAACTCATTCGGGCAGGATCTGGCACAAATTAATAACTTGCTAGGGTAAGCCAGAATATTGCTGTTGCTAATCCTTTGCCTGCAACTTGATATTTCTAGCAATGATTATGGTGTAAAAAACATTTGATATCATTAGCATCTAGTGAGGTAACTAAATAAAATATAAAGATTAAACATTCAAAAAAGATGGTGTACCTCAACTTCATTGTCTTTGCTTGTTTCTATCATGTTTTTGGAGTCTTCTTGTATCCCATCTTGCCTTGTGCTGACATATATCAAGTCACAGGACTGGTCCTCTTTAATGGAACGGAGGCTTTCTACTGGAAGAAAATGCAAATCCATTCATACCATAGCCCTGATTTAAAAATGACAGTCTAAACCAATAAAACCAATTAGTTGCAAGGCATACCAACATCATCGCAATCCATGGGGGGATCATTTATATTTTGAGATTTCTGTTCATTGATAATCCCACATTTTGAATCCACTGTAGGCTGTACCTGCAGTGTAGACTGATCTACATCATCAGTAACTTCATCTGAAAGAAAAACAATGGTTTACTTAAAGCTATATTCTTAGTGATTTATAAACATTCATAGTGCATTATGACTGCCATAGAGCACTATAGATACATGTATAATGCAGTACAAAGAATCCTTACACCGATTATTCTAATGCATTATAAATGTAATATAGTGCATTATAGACATTATAATACATATGAGTATAATGTGTTATGCCTTTTGATATTTATAGCTATGTTTATAATGCTTTATGAATGCATTGTTTGTTATGAATGTGTTTATAAATTACTGAAAAGTGGTCTTAACTAAAGTGTTACCAGAACAATATTAGTCACATAAGGTCCATTAATGTGCAGCTGTACATACATAGCACTGTTTGATTAACAGTACTGGGAACTCACATGTCTCCTCTTCATCTGCTTGTCCAAACAGGGTTATCTTCCCGGTCTCAGCTGAGGCCTGCAATGGAGACTCAGACCATTGCATTTCCTCCCTTTCTCGGTCTTCTGAATCAATGAAGGGTTCTTTGAAGGGAACTTTTTTTTCTGTAAAGTCATTTTTTTCTATAGACATACATTCTACCTGCTCCTTGAGATCTGTGACTAGCATTGCTGACTCAGCGTCAGGATGATGATCGACGAAGGCAACTCCATACTCCTCTGTTGAATGGATAGCCAAGTCTGTTTTAAGTGCTAGGGTATGGGGGTCTGAGCCTGTTTTTAAGTTGAATAAACCTGCTTCCTCTTCCCCACACTCTTCATTTTCAACTCCTTTTGTGATGCCTAAGTCTATTTCAAGAATGTCCACCTTCAAAAAATAAGGAAATCATTTATGCAAGACAGACTTTAAGCTACACTTGATTGTGGTTTTTCCTAATTGTCAATATTCCTTTAAGCATTGTACAATATATATGTATGTGTGTACATAAATATGCACACACACACACATGAAGGGTAAACATATCCTTATGGGGACCGCTCATTCATTTCAATGGGAAAAATGCTAACGCTAACTATGACAACCTTAACCCCTACCCTGCCCTAACCATAAGTAACCAAACAAAATACAAGAGTTTTTGCATTTTTTGTTTTTTCATAGCAGTCACCGATTTTTATAAAACAGTGTTTTCCCTTATGGGGACCAGGAAACCGGTCCCCATAAGGGGAAAAAAATGGATATTTATCACGTTATGGGGACATTGTGTCCACATAAAGATAGGTAAACCCGCTCACACACACACACACACACAGAATGAAAATCATTTAAGTTGACTTGGGAAAAAAAACAGATTTATAAACAATGTGTGGTCAACATTACATATTTTTAAAACAATATGAAGGAAATCTCTGTTTACGAATGTTGTGCTTTAACAAAATAAAACAATCCACTTTAGATAACCTAACCTACAAAATAAAGTTTATATACAATAAAGCAAGAAGTGTTTTATTAAACATTCTGACAGTGTTTGTTCAGGTTCACTTCTTTTTTGTGCTCAGATTGCAGTGCAGTGTGATACGCACCTCAAGATCTTCCAGATCCACATCACTGCTTTTCAATGAACTTGCATGTTCTGAAAAGAAAATTCACAAGGAACTGTTAAGCTATACATTAAAAAGTCCCTTTGTAACTGACATACAGCATTCAATACTGATGTGCAGAAGCAGCTTCCTGGAATTTGCTTTACTGGACCATGAGTGTTTCATACTTCTATAGAATGCATGTGATATTCACTATAGAAGTTATATGTGGCATTGTATAGTCATATAACAGTACACCTTTCTTCTTTTTGAAAATCTCAATATGTAAAATATCATATTAAATTAAAAGGGAAACCGTATACAAAACCCATGCAGCGTAATATAGACTATTCTACCTATGTTTGTGTAGATTTTCCCTTTTTGTAGGTTTTCTCCAACTGTCCAGGAGTTCTGCAGAATTTGTGAATTTTCAAGAACAGACTTCTCTATTGACAGGTAAATTACAGCAGATTTGAAATGAGGAGAAAATTCCTGCTGTGAATTCAGAGTACAATGCAAGTCCTATTTCTGTTTGAAAGTTTGTAGGCCCTAAATGTTGCTAGGTGTTATGTAGGAGCCCTTGTGGATGTATATTAACATGTCACAAAGAACTGCTTAGAAAAGGTTGCTTAGTAGAGGCTGGAAATGCATAACTGAAGGGCAAAACAGCAGAAAAAAGACTTTTAAAACAGCCAAGTACCGCTAGGCAAAACATTAAAGCATATTTTTAGATGTGTGTATTTAGCATAGTGATGGACAGGATGAGGCTTCAAAACCCACAACCAAGTCAGAAGTATCATTATTTTCATCTTCAGTGATATGATCCCTGGGTCATACACTAAGATGAAATTTCAATCTCATGGGTCATAGTGCAAGAAACAGTAATAAATAGAATATAAATATGTAAGACATTCACTGACTAATTTAAAGCATTTCTCAATCATTATTTTATTTGTACCCCATAAGAAGTGATATTCTGCTATGTACAGAGTATTTTTTCTAATAGAAATTTCTGATTTAGTACATAAAAGTCCATCCAGCATATCAAGGCATTACCACTAATGTAGATGCACCTATAACTTTTTCTATTCTAAAAAAGAATGCAGCCCTGTTTTCAAAATCCTGTGTTATATCATACATGCCTGAGTTATGTGCTATGTCTGAAACAAGGCCCCAAATAGGTCATTATAACTAGCAAACAACAAGCTACTGCTTAAGGTTGTTATTTTAGCCTAGAGCAGGGGTGTTAAACTGAAGTGCTCGCAAGCCTCAGGGAATGCTGTCTTTGACGGAAGACAAGTCAGTAATAATAATCCTCTTTCTGCTTTGAGCTGTTGATTGAACAGAACCTTCTACTATCCGTTGCCGATTAAAAGTATTAAATTGTTTTATTTGCAACAGTAAAACATTTAAAGGTATACTTTTTAAGAAAGCATACACTCAGTTACATAATACTGTATACACGCAGTTACATAATACTGTAGCAATGCTATTTGTTTCTGATTTCATTAAACGAAGTTAAAGGAAAAAAGTTCAAGTTAAATGAAGTGAAAGGGAAAAGGAGAAAACTACTTGGAACAATCTGATAGTAACAGTTAACAAATACACATTATCTCCACTAGTATGTGTGTAAACTGTGGAGTTGTGGTTTTTGAGCCCATCTTAGAGGAATGCTCTGCTCTGTGGTACCCTCTGCTGGAGCTGTGGAGTTGTGATTTTCAAGAAACAGCTCAGTTAACAATGATTGACATTCCATTATGCTACACTGTGAAAAATGAAAGCTCTGTAATCCTTTGGAATCAAGGCACTGGACCTACTGTATATGTTTAGAAGAATAAAATAAGTACTTGTCCTCTGTGCCATTTTTAAAATGTCATTCAATGATTTTATTATTATTCACCACTGAATCAACTTTTTGGATTCTCATATAATGCTTCTCGTTTGGAAGATGCAAAATTTGCTTTTCCCAATATTACTCTGGAGGAATTGTCTTTTTCAGTATAAAAGGACTCCACCACACACTCATTTGTTCTCTGATGTAGATGATGTTTTCCCCTAAAAATGGCTCTATGAAAGTTGTGACTACAGACACTCAAGCACTGATCTCGAGGCTTGTTGAACACCCCTATACACATAACCTTTAGAACGTAAAAGGGTATTATGTTGCATATTTGGAAAAAAAACCCACTATATTTAAGGCAACAGGACAAACAGTCTGATTGATCACATACATGCACAGTATGGTAAATAATGTCAAATTCCTTCTAAAAAAACTGTAGTCTATATATCTTTCTTCAGAAGCATGTGGACAATAGACAGAAAGCTACCAATGTTTTATTGTCCTCACGACCTGAATGCAACAAATTTCACAATCTGTACATTTTCCACCTTGACAAAACCAACTGCAAATTGTGAAACCTTACTGTATAGTCAAATCCTACTGAATGCCAAATTTCACAATCTGAATATAATCCACCTTGACAAAACCAATAGCAAATTGCAAAGCCTCATTTTATAGCAGTACTATAGTCATCAAGGCTGCATCCCATTCTCATAACTGGACGCTACTGTTCTTCACTGTTTTACTAGTTCGTAATCTCAGCTTCTTTGATATTGATTTTTGCTTGTGTTTCAGCCTCCAGTGAGAAATGTGTTGAATAGACTATTACCAAATTTCCTGTCTAATGTGTTACACAGGCAGGTACACCAAACTCCTGCTGAGTAGCTCGGGTGTAATTTTTATTTCCATTTATAGAGGGGTGTTTGTATATCTCCAAATGATCCTGATCCTGATTTTTAATTAATTCCACTGAACCATTTTCTGTATTTGGTGCCATTCCCTGTGCCATGCATTCAGAATGAAGTGGCCTCCTTAAGATCTTTAGTTTTCAACTGACACTTTAGCCTTTCCATTATGTGCATGCAAATGTTCTTCTCTGTAAAACTGTATAGGTTACTTGCATACTATATTAAATTATTATCATTCAGTCTTTTATTCACACAAATATTTCTGGACAATTTTCTTGAGAATACAGTTATAATGGGCAGATTGATAGGCATTGTGTATGTACATATGGAATAACTTGCCCTTGCACGTTAGAGAAGCCCCCTCACTGTCCACCCTTAAAACACGTCTTAAAACTGACTTATGCTTTGGTTTTTGGCTCCAGCAGGAGTTTTCTTTTAGTTATCTGACTTTGTTTTTGTTTTTCTTTTCTCTCTCCAGTGCTCCAATGTACAGCACTTTGTGTCAGCTATGGTTGTTTTAAAGTGCTTTTATAAATAAAGATGGTATGGTATGGTATGGTATATAAACAGGGGTGTCAGCAAGGCATGGATACCCTGGCAGATTCAGGGGACCCGGCACTTTACAAGGGCCCTTGCATACAGTATGACAGGGGGTTTTGTAACATATGTTAAACTGGGCAGGTGGGTCAAGGTGACATTTTTTTCAATGGTGCAGAATTTCTAGGTACGTCCCTGGATATAAATAAATCATTTACATGTCATCACTAGTAATTTTCTGTGTACAGTTCTTAATGCTAATTCCAGCTATTGCTACAGTAAAATGAAGAGACCTCATTGCCTTATTATAAACAATTTGTTTCTTCACTAAATTTTGAATCAAGTTATGGAATCTATATTGTTGCACCTACTTTTTGTATGAACAGCATTGTGCATCACGGTGACATTGAGGGTTTCTGGGCTTAGCAGGATGTCCACATCTGCAGGTGACGGGTCAATGGAGGCCAACAGTGTAGAGATAGATGGAGCCTGTGACTGGCAAGCAAGTAGGTCTGGGGTAGTTGGGGATGAGGGTGGAGACACAGATGGAGAAAGAGGAGAAGGGTCTGGAGCAGTGGTGGCATGGAAGGGGGCTGTCTGTAAAGAAGGAGGCAACAGATCTGGGGGGGATCTTGATGGAGGCAAGGTGGAGGATGGAACCAAGGAACCAGGAGAAGCAGGTGGAATACTGGGTTGGTAGTCTGACACAGTATCAAGGATATGTTGACTGCATTGGGTAGATGCCTGTGATGAGGAGGTAGGGCTGAAAGCCACTGATATCTCTACCAGGGGGCTGCTCTTGCTGGTGGGGGCCGGCAAATCCGACTTCTTAAAAATAAAGGCTCTTTCAGTTAAGCTGCGCTGAAAGTGCCGGAATGGAGGCTTTCCTGTATATAAAAACAGAATGGATTAAGAAGAATGTATGCATTAGCTTCAAGCTAAATACTCTTTCCTAAAGCAACCTACTGTATACTGTATAAGAAACATAAATCAGGCCACCACCATTAGCAAGAATCCACTTGTTAAGTCTGACACAATGCAAGACATAAAAACAGGGCCTGACAGTTCAAACAAACCACAATGACAGAACCGGTATCATTATTCAACATAAAAAGCCATTGTTAAGGATGAAAAATGGGCTAAATTCCTTTATTTTAAACAGAGTGATGAGTTTAGCTGTTCTCCCAGAAGGGATTAGCGGTATATCGGTACATGGTCAATACATCATGAACGGATACATTTCTTGACACAGGTGGAACCTAAATTCACAAGTACACAATCAACATGGAAAACATTATGGTAAATGTGCCCTTGAATTTTGGTTTCCCAATGAATTACATCAACACTGGAAAGAGAGTAGTTGATAAAACCAAGACTGTTCATCGGATATGTTGCTGAATACTCATACAACATGCTAATTCATTTGAGACAACATCATCTGAGTGTGTGCACGACCTGAGTAAAGCAGAAACAGCCTCTGCAAGTTAGTCCCTCTATGGCATTAAGCTAATTTAGCCACAGATGGGCGACCATACTTGGTAGTAGGGAACGCAGGGTTTAGCTTCTTAGGACTGTTATGATGCTACATTTTCGATTTTTCGATTTATTTTTTAACAAGGTGCAAATAAGCATCTCTTGTTATTCAGACACATTGATGGACGCATTGCCATCGGTTTACAACTTTCTGTAAATGTGTTTGCAGTTTTAATAATAATAGAATAAATTATGTTTTTCCTGCGTTACAGAAATTGCACCAAAACATAACACTGCAGCATACTGGCTTATACAGTAGTACCTCAGTTCTCAAACTCATTAGAACTTGAATTTCTTAAAAGTCGAACCAGCCAGAACTACCTAGAACTCGATCTGAATCTCAGAAGTCAAACCGTGAACGCCGACCTAAAATCACGCGGCACGTCTCTCAGCGGAAACAAAGGGTAAAGCTTCAGTCTCAGCCTCGCATTCGTTGTGATAGCATCATGCATGTTTACACTAGCTGAATATGAATATTTAGACAGTAAAAATACATTTAGACAACGATAGACAGTAACAGTAATTATTATTATATAATAAAATACATTTAAAAATAAAGATTTCTTATTAAGTATTTTAATATTAATAATAAACCATTAATACATTTAATTATAATAATATTGTCGTGCCGAGCGGGGACGGAACGGAGACAAAGGTGCAGACGTCAGGGTATCGGGGAATACGGGGTTTAATTACAGGTAAGTCAGGCAAAAAGCAGACGGGCAATACAATGACCGGACTGGGGAAAGAAACTGAAACACGGACTAAATACAGAGGACTAATGACAACAACCAGAAACAGCTGATCACACGAGAATCCCACACGGGGTTAACGAGGGGGCGTGGCACACGGAAGGAGTGGACGATCAGGGCAGGACACATTGTTTTCTTTAACTTTACACATTGTTTGGATACATTTATTTTCTTACTTTACAAATTACTGTTTTGATAAATGTGCTTAGATGTGTTTAGTACAGTATATGCTCTTCTTGTTTTATCCGGTTCATTTTGTGTTTAAATGCTAAAAAAAAAACATATTTAGGTGTAATGTTTTGGGGCTGGGAACCACTTAATTGGTTTTCCATTATTTCTTATGGGGAAAATTCGATCACAACTCGAACTTTTTAGAATTCGATCCAGAGTTCTGAACGGATTAAATTTGTGTTCTGAGGTACCACTGTACCCAGATTGGCCCTAGAAACAATATAGTCACATTAGTTGTTCAAACCTCATGACTTCAGTCAGTTTGAGACTTTGAAGCCACGGTTGGTGGAATTGCTGTGCATGTCAGTCACTGATTGGTTTAGTGTAGTACGAACTAATACGCTAATTACGAGTGGGTGAAACCAGTCAGAGTGGGTGAAACCTGTATAACATTTTTCCCACCCATCTCAATTTATTTTGACTAACAATCTCAAAGCTGCACAATTTAAGTGCATCTAGGGTCATTTGACAGTAATATTTATTCTTTTCAGCCAAATCACAAGCTTAGTATTACTGGTGAACGCTCCACCCTCCCTCTCACCTGTAAGTGGGGAGGCAGGGTTTGGAGGATCACAAGAAGATGATGAAGACAGCTGCCTGAAGAACTCCAGTGGATTGATGGAACGTTGCGAGACCAGTGCTGCCGCCTCCTACAGAATGGGAGGAGCGAATACTGCTTTACAGTTCTAACATGTATGCATTGGACCAGTGTTACTGCTGAATTATTCAAAGGCCAAATATTAAGACTACAAAACATAACTCTTTTAAGATAGCTTCTTAACTTACTGCTGCCTTCTCAATGGACTCACTCCGTCTGAAGCTGGCTCTCATCTCTTCCTCATGCTCCTTTTTCTGCTGCTCCTACAGCAAACCCCAAGGCACAAAACTGGAATACCTTCATCAAATAAACACATCTGGTTCTAAAATATTACAAATCGCACTGCCCACACCCATCCACACCAAACTTAAAACTAAAATCCTTCTTCTATCAAATGTATAAACAGAATAATTAAACTATCAAATTACATTTTAATAATTTAGCAGTCTTTTTACAAGGTTAATGAACTGTCAGAACACCTCTGTCACTCTCATCTCCTATTACAATTATTTATGCAACCAAACATTGACGGCACTTGCCTTAATCCTGTTGTGCTTAATCTAATTAATGTCGGTATTTCAAAAGGAGTCTTTTTTTAATCTTCACATGCTATTTGTAACTGACATAAATGCTCAGTCATTCACTCTCACAAGGCCAGCTCTTTTGAATGTCACCATATGCCACTAACTCACCCACTGGATCATCTCCTGTTTTTGTGCTGCTGCCTCCTTCTCTTCCTCTATTCTCCTGTCAAAACAGAACATGAAAGAACAAGAACATTCGGTGACAACACGATCTGGAAAATATTGTAAAACATTCTAAAAGATTTCATGAATCACCAATGACAAGTTAATCAGTCACGAGAAAAAAACTAAACCACTTAGAAAGTTCATGAACAATTCTAATATTGGATAAACTGCTGCAAAATACAAACAAAGAAGATTAGATAAGTGTTTCAGCATTATTTAGAGAATATTACTACTTGGAAACAACAGCAAAGTTTTTTTGGTGGGGAGGACGGGGGGCAGACAATCACTACACCATTTTAGCAAAGAGAAATCTGAGAGCAGTCTGTCTGCCAATCAGTTCTGTTTCCTGGAGTGATTTTGGACCATGAAAAATGAATGAAGGTTGTTTTGTTACCTACATGTAACTAAAATCTGAAATTAAAATGACAAGTTCAAGTTAAGCTCCAGCAGAGAGGCACTGCTGCTCACAGGGGGCTCTATCACAAAATAGGCTGCAATGTTTCCATATATTGACATCCAGACCTCCTCTCCTGTATCCTATTCTCTTTCTCAATCATCTTCCTTTCCCTCTCCTCTGCCTCTCTGTGCTCCTGTTGTATTCTTTTTATTTCCAAGAGCCTCCTTTCTTCGAATGCCCGTCTCTTCTCTTCTGCTTTCCTCGCATCTTCCTCTCTCTAGCGAAGAAAGTGAGTTGGGAAAGGGTTACCTGGAGTTGAGACCACATCATTTCAGCTGAAACCTTGTTTGTGTGTAACACATAAATTCTTATACTTCACCCAGGTTGAGAAGCTGATCACAGTGAACCACTGAATTCAAATATTTTGGTACTCACATCTGACCGTGCCCAAAAGGACTCCCTCTTCATTCTTTGTATCTCCATCACAGCTATTGTCCTCTTATAGTTAGTTCCCTGAAAGGACAAATGAAAGAGATCAATCACAAACACAGCACAGTGAAGTCCAGCCATCACAATACCGTCGTCATCTTTGCTTCTATATGGGGAGCAAACATCCCAATACGAATTCCTTTTAGCGAATACAGGCATGGAAAAAATTAAGAGACCACAGCACAATTTTTTGTTTGACTCAATTCTCAATGTATGGGTGTGCATCTATGAGTAATATACAATATATATATATATATATATGCGCACAGTGGTACCTCAGTACTCAAACTTATTAGAACTCGAATTTCTTAAAAAAAAATTACCTAGAACTCGATCTGAATCTCAGAAGTGGAACCGTGAATGCCAACCTAAGATAACTTGTATGCGCGGGGAAATGAGTCACGCGGCATGTCTCTCAGCGGAAACAAAGGGTAAAGCTTCAGTCTCAGCCTCGCATTCGCTGTGACAGCATCATGCATGTTTACACTAGTTGAATACATATATTTAGACAGTAAAAATACATTTAGACAATGATAGACAGTAACAGTGATTATTATTATATAATAAAATACATTTAAAAATAAAGATTTCTTATTAAGTATTTTAATATTAATAATAAACCATTAATACATTTAATACATCCCATTATAATAATATTGTCGTGTTGAGCGGGGACGGAACGGAGACAAAGGAATGCTGCTTAGTGCAGCCTTCTGCCAGCAGAACCACAACTAAACCAAAATTTAAAAATGTAGATTTGTTATAGAGTGGTCTAAATTTTTTCCACAACTGTATATTACCACTCCATGCTTGCTTTAATTTGAATGTTGTTAACTGACAGCAATGAGTTTAGTAGAAAATGTATCAACAAATACTGAAGCTCGGACTCTCACCACAGATTCTTCTTTGTCCACAGAGCAAGACCCACTCTTCCCATGCACTGCTGGGGTGCCCATTGTGCTGAACATGGCACTTATCCGATCCTCTGTCACATCTTCCAGTGTCTTAGCGCTGACAAACATGTGAGCTTCCTGGAAGAAAGACAGTCCAAAGGTGAAACAGGATAACCTCAAAAATTAGGGTAGGAGTAAGGGCCAGAAAATTGACTCCAGGATTGTTCGCGTAACCTATATGTCCACTGATATCATCAGTTAATGTATATTGTAACCATGAAATTAGTGTTGTCAACTATGCAGACCATGCAAATGGTCTTATTAGCACTTGATGAATAATGGCAGTTAGTTTATGTCATCACCAGGTACTATTAATTACGTTGACATGTTAAGTTCACAAATGTTATTATATTATTTTTGAATTTCAGGGAGGGAAGAGACACGCACTGGCTTAAAAAAAGAATAACAGTACCTACATATTACCACTAGGGCAAAACTATTATTTTTGTCATAATATATATAAACTGGATCCAGTCAACAAAATGAGATGTAACTTATTTGTTTTAAGAACATAAGAAATTTACAAACGAGAGGAGGCCATTCGGCCCATCAAGCTCGTTTGGGGAGAACTTAACTAATAGCTCAGAGTTGTTAAAATCTTATCTAGCTCTGATTGAAATGAATCCAGGGTTTTAGCTTGCGCTACACTAGTAGGAAGACTATTCCATACTCTAACTACATGCTGTGTAAAGAAGTGCTTTCTCAAATTCATTTTAAAATGTTCTCCCACTAATTTCCACTTATGGCCACGAGTTCTAGTATTTAAACTAATATTGAAGTAGTCATTTGGCTGAACAACATCCAGACCTGTTAAAATCTTACAGTATATACCTGGATCATGACTCCCCTTCGTCTCCTTTGCTCAAGGCTAAACAGATTCAGCTCAGCTAACCTCTCCTCATAAGACATTCCTCTAAGACCAGGAATCATTCTCGTAGCCCTACATTATACCCTTTCCAAGGCAGCAATGTCCTTTTTAAGGTATGGTGAACAAACCTGCACACTGAGCTGGCCCCATAATTACCTAAGTCATTATTTTTATAGAACCATAAAATAACCTTTAGGACATATGGATTAAATGCAGAAGACACATTTTGTTGTTGTGCACTGTGTGCTGTGGTGTCTATCAACACTGATCTCTAAATTTGAATGCCCATTAAAATTGTCTCCAGTGTGTACTAGTGGTGGGCGGATCGATCCAAGTATCGATAATATCCATAGTAATGTTGGTATTGATATTGATAAATACCAGTTTAATGAGATCGATACTTTAGTTTCCATTTCTCTCCTGAATGCACTGTGGCTGTCTATATAAGCGCTGCTGCTCTCACTTGCCGCTCCCGGCTGTCACAGCGCAGAGCAGGCTTTGCTCCTCCTCCTCAGTCTTGTGATTTGATGTTGTACCGTCACGTGACTCAGCGGCGCCGGGCAAGCAAACAGGCTCACTCGTGCACGCAGACACACACGCACTGTTATCCAGGTAGATTATAATGGTGCCAGTAATATTTTAGTCATCTTCAATATTAGTTAATATTAAATTTTCAAAGTGTAAGTGGTTAAAACTCAAAATGAATAAATTATGCTAAGACCTTTTTTATCATGGATGCTAGTGCTAGCATCTGTGTCAAATAGGTAAATGGTTTGGGTTAACGTGATAATTCTTCAAAGTCACCGTGACCAGAACCACGGAATGCGGTTAATCAAAGTTATTTTTTTAACTCATTTTTTTTGTTGATTAATTAATCAAAATTATCGTTTTATTTGATACAATTTTATCCCATTGCCCTACGGTGGCCCCTAGAGACAAAACACACACAAAAGAAAAAGCGCAGCAAATTAAAAAAACACACAAAAGAAAAAGCAGAAACAAAATGAAAATGCGCAGCAAATTAAAAAAACACACAAAAGAAAAAGCAGAAACAAAATGAAAATGCGCAGCAAATTAAAAAAACACACGCAAAAGAAAAAGCAGAAACAAAATGAAAATGCGC